TATGGTGAGCTGGGGGACAAAGGAAATGTCTTTGTTTAGAGACAGACCCCAGTAATCCATACTGAAGCTGAAAGATGAAGCCCTTGTGAAGAAATGTGGAAGGACACACTGGCACCCAAAGGTGTTCACTCGGCAAAAACAGAAAGAAAGGAAGAACAAATAATTTAACTGCCCTATAAAGAGAATGGAGAGAAACATGGTAATAAGGGAGAGAGAAGGAAGGTTAGGGAAGGGAGGAGAAACAATGAAAGGGAACTTGGATTCAGTGGGCAGAATAGCAGGTTTCTGGAGCCTACAATGAAGGATGATAAGAAAATAAGTATAGTTTAAAAAAGTAACAAAGTTTAAAATAGTTCAAAAATTAAAAAACGAAGTTAAAAAAATAAATATTTTTTAAAGTGGCATGAAAGATTTTAAAATGTTGGAGGTTTCTTATTTCAAAATTCAAGTTGTTTGAGTTTCTTCTCCGTGTTCCAAAAAAAAAGTAAGCCCTGCTTGTGTAAGTGGTTTTGAGGGACACCACAGAGAGGGGTGAGCTCTTCACTTAGGTTGGCCAGGAGCAGAATACTGGTGTGGAAGGCAAGACAGAAGAGAGGTCAAGAGTTTCATGAGAACAGAAACTCAAAGCCAGAATTTATCTTAAAAACGTTAGTGTGGTAGGCAGAAAAATGATCCCCCCCAAGATGCTATGTCCTAATCCCCAGAATATATGAAGAGGTCAGGTTCCCTCGCAAAGGGGGCCTATTGCAGAAGCAGTTAAGGTTGCTAACCAGCCGACTCTAAGAGAGAAGAGCTGGATTATAGAGGTGGGCACAGTGTAATCACCAGGGTCATTAAAGGAGGAAGAGGGAGGCAGAAGTGGAGAGAGAGGAGAGATGTGACCACAGAATCAGAGTCAGAGACACACATCCATGCTGACCTTTAGAGAGAGAAAAGATGTCACAGGCCAAGAGACGCAGGTGGCCTCTGGAAGCCAGAAAAGTGAAAGATACAGGCTCCCTTGAGGCCTTCAGAAACAGCCGTGCCAATACTTTGACTTCAGCAGGCTTCTGCGTTCAAGAACCGTACAGGGTTAAATTTGTGTTGTTTAGTGGAGACTTTTTCTTTTTTC